TTAGCGGATCGTCAGGTACCGGACTTGGCAGAACTTACAAGGCTGGCCAGACTCCACACGCTTGTTGTGGTACGTGGTACAAGTCGGCGATGAACATGCCTCGGGTGTACTTCTTCTTGGACTCGATTCTGACACTTGCACGTCCGCGATTTGTGGCGCTCTGAACTGGTGATAGGACCTTTGCGGAATCTACTCCCATATATGATCGCTTTGCTGTTGGATTGTATCCGATCAGTCCTTTGGAAAGCGCTGCAGCTTGAGTTTGGTAGTCGACGAATCCTCCAGTTGGGTCATTTACCTTTACAACGAATCAGTCATTGTTCATGCCACATTCCCGGGACGAAGTTCTTACAGTGATGAAGTCAAAGTTGTTATAAAAATTGGGCCCGGAGAAATCATCCACCAACAAGTATTGAGCGGCATCGACCTGAGCAGAGAGAGCCAGAGCCAGAACGGCCGCCTTGACCAAGGAAGTCATGATCAAAAGTATTAGAAAGACGAGAGAATAACGAGTGACTAGACGTATAGACGTCAAATATAAACCAAGGCGCGGGGCTCAGAACGAGTGATGAGTGACAAAGACCGAGGTCGTCAGGACAAGCCACTAGATATGGGCGGCAGCCATCCTTTTGTTCACCACCTTTCAACTCCCCAACTCGGTGTGAACTGTGACATCGGCCCAACCCCTAGCTAGACCGTTGGTCGTATTGATGACTATGTGGCAAAGCAAGGCAATAAATACACATCTGGAATGGTGGCTCTTTGCGGCGCAGGCTTCTAGAGGCATCGCTTGATCCCGTGGATGACTTCTGGACGGCTTTGCTGGTGTCCTGTACGGATGCAGAAGCTGAACCGAGCGGATATATGAAGTGTGGAAATGAGTTCCCAGCAAGGCGGGAGCGGCTTGACCCTTATTTGGACTAAGACGAGCCGAACCCCTGAATGCCACATCTACGCGAGTCCGCTTCCAGCTCAAGGCGCGACGCCCAAAATAGCCACTACGCCCAAAATAGCCACTCGAGCAGATCAGACGATTTGCAAGATAGCACGAAGTGATGATGCTTAGAAATTGTGACTATGGCTCGGTTGAAATCTATTAAGCGATCAAGGATTCCTTGGGTGTGCGGATAAAGTACCCGTGGTGCACGATTTATGTTGTTGTAAGCAAGAAAATATGGATTCGCTTACTATCTTCAACTAGGGGTTCATCGATCCCAGTCCAGATGCAGGTACGAGTCCAGGGTCCCGGCCACTGGCCAAAAACTTGCAAGTTTTGACTCCGATAGGTATCAAACAATTCTCAACCATTTGATCAGAGCAACAACTTGACATGGAGAAGAGCAACTAGATGTGTTCTCATGGAGAGAATAGACCGACACTGAAATATCATTCAAAGCGAATAGAGGGAAGGGAATGTGAATGCGATGAAGACCTCGAGGCATGCATAAATCCAGATCTGACAACCCCTGCAAAACCCTATCGCCGGCGAGCGGGAATAAGCATCTGACACGGTGATCCGGCCGTGCATCCGAAAGTCTCTTCGACACCTTGACAAAATAGACTTTACGGAAGATACAGTAACGACTTCAAGCTACTGTAAGCCTATAGATGATTTGTATCATCGTGAATTGTTCACGAGCAAACCAGTTATCCTCACTCGAAGGCTGGAACGCCGGCAAAATTATCCAGCTGGCAATATTCGAGCAGAATACCCGCCACGGAGATGTCTTCTCATTGGGACTAGCTCGAAAATGAGTAATCAGACCCCTTTAACTCCAACTTAGGAATCTCGGAATCATAATTCAACTTAAGAAGTCCACAGATATTAATGTTTATCCGTGTCTGACATCTTGCTGCAATTTTTTTTTGGCTACGCCTTCGCCATACATTGTGCCACGAGATCACTGTTCTTAACTTGCAGGGGAAACTTCCTAAGACCATGCACCTCGCGCAGAAACCTCGTATTTGTCTGACAGCCAAGGCTCAAATCTTATCTATGCTTTCAATCGCCGCCTTCGAACGCGAGAGGCTATCGACCGGAATCTGCAAGGGTATAGGTTGGACATGTAGATGTCTGCATCGAGGGCAAAAGATTATACATCAAGAAAACAAAACATTTACCCAGCCAATACCCTCTCGATCCTGAAGATTTAGAACCTCTAGTCCTACACTTAGAGAAATATTTGCTGCTTCTGATATCAAGCACCGAAACCCCACCAAAAGGGAGGTTACACACACCTGTCTCTCGCGCAATTTCCCATCAAAGGTCCTCCTCATCGCGAGTCCATTGTACGATTTTGATTTGAAGATCCTGCTTCTCATGGAACTCAATTCTCCGGCGTGCAGCCTCTTCACGAGAGTGCATTTTACATGCCCCAAGTCGTCTCAATAGGACTGACTTCATTTGAGATGCACAACCAAACTCATCCATCATGATCTTCTGCAAATTTTGAGCTGCGCGGACATGTTCTCGCGTCATAGTGATGTTTTCGTGGTCGGCGTTCGTTTCGTTGCTTGATTTGAGGATTCCTGTAAGACCGCTGACAAATCTTGGCTTCTTGAGCGGTGTCGCGTGGTGGGGGAATCCTCTCGGGTTGGAAGAAGGTGAATGCAAGACTGCATAGTTGTTCTTATCACACAATTAGCCATGATCCGGTGAACACCTCTTTGGAGCTAGATCATTACCTTGGGATGGAGTCAAATGAAGGATGAACTCCGAAAAGAATGGTTGAGATCCAACACTATACTTGATGCTTCCTGGTTTAGCCTCCAGCTTGCCAGCTGTTAACACAACTCTCTCGGCATCTTGATGGATTTTGCGCCATAAAGCTAGTCTGAGGTCGTATGGAATGTCTGGAAATCCCCTCTTTGAAGCGGGAGCATATGGATTTAGGCATGCCGTTGTCTCCGATATTACATGGGATGGCTAGTCAGAACCAGGAGAGTCGTGGTAGAAAAGGTCGTGGCAGAAACTTGTTGATGAAGTAAGAAGTTCTTTTTGTAAACAAATCGCGATGGGTGGAGACACTTGTTTAAAAAGGGACTATTTAAAGCCTGATAAGGCGCACTACGTAGACCAATCTGGGTCACGAGGAGATATCTCCGCTAGCTTGTAGGTAAAACATTGCAAGAGTTCAGAGCTTTCACGTTCGGTATACTATTCACGCCGCCTTCCTTGAACGTCCTTGAGAAATAGAGCTCTTCTCTTTCGTCAAAATGATTGCTACTCGCTTAACTAAGTCCTCAATTTGAGGATTCATTTTATTATTGGTCATTGCGAGCTATTCCAGACAAAATTATATTTGACACACCACTAACTCCCTCTATAAACGAATGATGTGAGCCAAGTGAAGTGAGGAAGAAGATTTATGCCAAGAGTGTTCATAGTTACATCAAGCGTAATTCACAAGACATAGCACTCAAGAGAGACATTGCTGCACCACACTTCACACGGTGCTAAAGAATTTTGTATCAGCGTCCTATGTAACCCGAAGGTCGCATCTACTATGATACTTCCCCAAGTTCAAGTGCTATGCTATCAGAGAGTTATGGCCACTAGAGACTCTTTGGTCTCTCAAGTATGCCCACAGTAATTTCAAAAAGTCACTTGTGGAACTGTACAATCTTTACCTCCATTCCTTGCCCATCCACGGAATTATTCCGCTTCCACCAGTTATACCTTGATGATTCCCTGTAAACTGCACTAGCTGTTGGATGTTTGAAAGAACAAGGTTGAAATCTTGTGGTAAACGACTGGCAACCTTACCTATTGCCCCCGAATTCCCCGTTGTTCCACTTCGTGACCTCTCTATTGATTATCTTTTTCAAGCGCAAGGCGTGTTGGTACTGTTCCGTTACACACCTTTTGAAAGCTATCTCCCTGGTAGCATCTTCTTGTCCAGCGGTTTCAGTCGCAGAGTTGCCTAGGCCAGTTGCACCAGGAACGAATCTAGGCTTCATTGTGTCGGAGTTCTTGGCAAATCCTCTCGTATTCACAACGATGTATAACGTCTTTAGACCCTTGTGCCATTGCAGAAGTTGCAGCATCAGCTTCTCGATTCGATATGGACAGTTGTATCATAGCAATCTAGGGACCTGGGTGCGAATGCATGGAATGCTAGGCTTTCCGTTGTAGCGACAGACTCCACCTTCAACTCCGGCTCTACGCTTACCAACATCCAGGACGGCTTGAGTGGATTTTCTTCGGAGCCTAGCAGTCCATATTCGGTCGTGTCGTTAGGGCCGGCTGGAACCCAGACTGTCTGTCGTGATACAACAAGCTCATAGATGGGTTTGAAGATCTCGAAGAGGTCGCCAACGAAGAGGATATTTTGGGCATCGAGGACTTCTTGCTGAGCAACCTGCAATGTCTTGCTGAGAGCATTGGTACCTGCCATGTCGGTTTGAAAGAAGGTAGCAGCAAGCTCTGCGACACTTTCTATGCATCAATCAACTTCAAGTAATATCAATCAACTTTGAATAGCACCTACCCTTATCTGGTGCAATCTTGAGGATGAATTAATTGGCATAGAGATTTTCAAACAAGTGGGTCTGAAAGTTTGTAAGTTAGGAAGCTGTTCTCGATAGTTCTTCGATAGTTCTTTGAATCATGTAAGCACGAGTATCAACCAAAACTGACCTTCAGATATTCATTGCCTTCAGACAAGCTTGTTCTGGCCGGAACGACTCGTGTCTTGTCCTTGAGAGAATCTTTCCACATGAGAACGCGAACGTCGAAAGGGATGTCGTGAAAAGTGAGCTTCTTTGGAGCCGCGTCTTTCTTCTGTTCGGTGTTTGAGATTGCGGAGCTGTCTGCTGTAGCAGATGCTACTGTGTCTTGCTGCGATGGAATCATGGTGCTGGGATAGGGGATTTGGTTTTCGAGATACAGGGTGCGTAGTGGGATGACTCGACTTCATTCTCAAAAGAAGTCGAAGTCGTGTTTGCTTTCCAAGCCCAGGCTGAAACGCGTTTGTAAAGTAGAAGCAGGTAGTCATTGTTGATTGTGGACTAAGCGAGGCTAGCTCGAAATCGAAGATTATCCGACCACCCGACACCGACATGAGTATATTGAATGTAATGTGACAAACTCACTTATATCATGCTTACTTCAAAGTAGGCTTCTATTCATTGTAAAGCACGATTTATAAATCAAAACCATGTGAATGTAATTCAGCGTGATATGTATTCCATTGTCTATAGTCCTTCCTATCAAGAAGGATATTGCCATACCGAAGCTTTGTAGGGGCTGCTCGCCAATGCAGCACGATACATAGTATGTAAAAATAACTCTGGTCACTTCTGGTACCAAGGCAGTGTCGTGGAAAAATAAACCATCGTTAGTAGGAGCATTTCCCAGCACAACAATTTCCTTGCAAGTTCTCGCTCCTGCTGCTCTACGCCCACGAGACAATCTCGATCTTCGGACATAGCGAAGACTTATTTTCGTCTTGGTAGCTTTGCATAGTGCTCCTTGCT